AGAACATGGCACGATAAGTACCAGTACTGCTTGCAGTTCCCGTTGGCACGGGTGCAAAACCAAGGTGAGGCAACGGAGTAAACGCACCTGACAGTTGAGTATCAGTTCTCATCCCTGCCTGCACGTACGTTGCCGAGGGAGCAAAATCCCCACGTGACGTAGTGGCGGGCTCCATAACTGAAAAAATGCTGTAAACAAAACAGCAAAAAATGGAATAATCAGACTCTAAACACACCAAAAACAAGGACCCACAGAGACAGTGGGACCTCCGGAACCTTCCTGATCCAAAAGGAAACAGGAAAGATCGCTAAAATGTGAAAAAAACACACCACCAAGCGAGAACTACAAAATCCACTTACCTAGCCGAAGGCAGTGAAGGGAAAGAGGAGGTCACGTGGGTTAGTGCCCGGATGTTGTTTGTTTCTGTGAAGAACTGCCACCTTGCGATTTCTAGGGAAAACGCCATTGTATTTCGGAGGGTAGCGACGTATAACCGCAGCAACCAACCTGAAGTAGGCCGCCGATTGGGCCGCCGATTCGTAGCCGCCCTTTCAGCCGCCGATTCGGGACTAAACCGAGCATAGCAGCTAATTCAAATACAGATTCGAAATCCCAGAAATTTCCTAAATCGACCCCAAAGAAAAATCACGAATGGGGAATTGTTGCAAATGGTCTGTAATAACGCATAGAATATCAATTCAAAGATGAATAAAATCATAAAGTACCAATTAAACGATAAAGTGCAAATTAAAGACTTAGAAACGACACCTAGCGACAATATCATAACCTGCTGATGCTGGCGGCCGATTCAAGTGAATGGTCTCCACCCTCAGGTGTTAAACACCTTGCGTCAGATTAAGCACATAATTCTATAACTCGTAATGACTTTCCATCATTTTATGATGATCCATACTTTGGTGTTCTAGTAAGAAAAGTAACGCACGCTACGTCATTTTGACGTCATGTCGTCTTAAACTGAAGAACATGACGGGCAGTTGTACCGTAACTGGTCTCCACCTTTAGGTGTTTAACACCTTGTAGCAGAGTAACCATATAATTTTACAACTTGCGATGACTTTCAATCCCTTTACAATGATCCATACTTTGATATTCTAGTAAGACATGTAACGCACACGACGTCGTTTTGACGTCATGTCGTCTAAAACTATAGAAAATGGCGGGACGTTTTAACGTAACATGTCTCCACCTGTAGGTGTTAAACACCTTGTAGCAGAGTAACCATATAATTTTAGAACTTGCAATGACTTTCAATCCCTTTACAATGATCCATACATTCTGTATTTGTATAGCCGGTATAACCGCCTTTCGGCGTAACACACCAGCTTCGCAGGCACGCGGCGCGGCGGCAGCTGGCTATATTATACCGATCGACTTGTTACACCTAACCCTTGAACTTCTAGCTCTAGACATTGTTTAAAGCTATCTATTGACAATGCCCCTACTGTACTTGGTGACAGTGAGTTCCACTCTGCGATAGTTCTAGGAAAGAATGAATTCTTGAACACCTCAATCCTTGGTTGATAACTCTGGTACTTGAATGCGTGGCTATTTCTTGTTCTCTTCTGGGCTGGTATTAGGTACTTAGTAGTTGGGACATCCACCAGTTTATTAGTCATTTTGTACATCATGCATAGTCTAGACATCTTTCTTCTGTCTTCCA